GTTTTTCCGTGTGATGAGTATTATAAGTTGAAAGTCACACTTTCAACTTATAAAAGTGAAGCGTTAAGAAGCTTACTTTTGTAGAAAAAAATGTATTCAGTGTACTAAGTGCATGAATTAAGGTAACTTGTAGATAATTGTATGACGTTTTAAACATATTTTTAGACAAAGCATAAATGCAGCATTTATTTTCACCTATTCTTTATTCAGAAAGGGTAAAACCTTGCCAGTTATAAACTCTACTTCCTGGGAGCCTTTGGGGAAAAGACAATAAAGAAATGTTCAGTTTTAGAGATGGGAGGAAACCTCGGACAGATATTCTAGGGGAGCCCATGGAATCAGGTAGGACAATCCACATACCAGTGTCGGTGGGATTCAAAGCCCATGCCACAGAGATGAAAGGTGAAGAGGATATCACTACACTTGCCTCACTGCAGCTCATGAAAGAAACATGGAGTTGTGGGCAGTATTTTCACTACAAAAAAGCCATCCCGCTTTCCAAAACTAATGAATTGGAACACAAACTATGAAGACAGTATAAAATACATTGCCCTATGACAAACTGTACCCAGCACTGAAATTTAGAAGGATTGAATGTGTTCTCTAGAAAGATGTGTAAAAAGTTTGTTTTCTAATAAATCAATTACCTGAGAAAATATCAATGCAATTGATCTCTCATTCTTAAAGAGTCATATTAAGAATTACAAAAAAGAGACAAGGTTGGTCGACGTCACTTCTTTGGGCCCCCAAGATTGACAAATACTCCTATCTTGTTATACACTGTTCACTCATGTTTGATGAACATGTTGCCTTGGACGTAAGCACAAGCCTGCAGCAATGCCTCGGCTGTTCTCTCCCCATCTTCAAACTCTCTCCAGTAATCAAAGATTCTTCCCTCAGCAATCCCGCTTGACTTCCTCTGATAACGCCGCAGTTTCTTCTCTGACACCAGCTGTGTGCGGACATCCACATACCTGGACTCTACGTGCAATAGCTCAATCAGGGGGTAGAGGGAGACCCTGGCCATGTGGACATTTGACTTGAGCCTCTGATGCCATCCTTCACAATCTGCGGGCAACCGGAGGCTCTGACGATAGCAGGACCATGTAGCAGGAGTCCACAGTTTGCTGTCCATCCACGTTGTGGCCATGTAGTCAAATAGCTAGGATATAAAGCAAGAACGAGACATCATCGGCTAACATCCTGGCTTAAACATTTCGCCAACATTCAAATGGATATTTGCCAAAGTGTAGCCACAAAAAATTTATCCCGTTTTACTCATAACATTTTAAGATTTTCTTCAGCACCAAGGAAGTCTCCACTGTACACACACCACATTCTTCACAAGAGCAACCCCATTTTTTTTGTCAGTTTGGAAGCCATGATTTAATAATTCACTACTTTAACTGAAATCATTACTCAAAAAACATCAGCAGTACTCATCCGAACTCCTTGTTTTGGATAAGAAGTGACTTATGCCCAATGCTCTACTGCAGAAAAGGGAAAAGCTTTTGAAAAAGTACATTGATTTACCTTGTCTAGTGTGGGTGTTCCGGCTTTCTCTCTCAGGGACTGGAACATTATCAGGATGAGCTCTGATGGCAAGAATGACAACCCCAGAACATCCTGGAGTAATTTGAAGACTTCACCTTTGGCCCTGTAAGCTGGTTGTAGACCCAGTTCCTGCATCTTTGCCCAGACAATTTGCCTCCAATGGAAAGAGCAGCCCTTCAGAGAGATGTCGGGAAAGACAGACGCCAAGGCTTCCCAGAGTGACACCTCAAAGTCAGCAAAGATCTCCTTGAGACAGATCTCCTCAGGAAGGAGCTGTCGTACAGCTTTCAAAACGGCACTGTAGTCCTGTTTCTTGTTTCCTGTCATTATACTTAAAAGCAATGGCACCTGTAAATAACCAACAGTAATAAAGTTGAGTAGAGGAAATAAGCAGAATAAGAACGATAATGGAGCTGGAGGGTAAGGTTTCTCTTGAAGGCGGATCCAGGTTTATTAAAATACTGCATTTCGTTGAACCTCGATCCATTGGTGGCAGGAAAGCAGTTCAGGAGAACATGGGGAAACATTCGTCTGAGAGTGACTTTGTGAACATCTGTGCCTAAACAGCTCTTTTCTTGGCTCTTCATTCTCTGCACTGTGGCACAGGTGTGTGGCTGTGATGAGACTGTAAGCAAAATTTCCTTGCTCAGAAAATTTTATTGGTGACAACTAATAATAATAATACATGTAATAATGATAATTGACATTTATAAAGTACCCAATCCATCAAGCTGCTCCCAGGCACTGTACATCCAAATATAAATAAATAAATATAACCTACATGTACCATAATTAAAATCAATACTGAGAAACTAAGAATGCTTGTTTAAAAAGGTGCGTTTTCAGCCCGGTCTTCAAACTCTCCACATTCCTAGACTCTCTAAGATGAACTTCAAGCTAGTTCCAGAGACGGGGACCAGCAAC